TATGGATTAAGACTAAGTTAATTGTCCCTAGTCCGGGAGTATGGATTGCGCACAGTTATTGATCCGGGAGTATGGATCAGATCAGGATTAGGGTATAGTTAATTGTCCTTATTCCGGGAGTATGGATTGGGTACAATTATTGATCCGGGAGTATGGATCAGATCAGGAGGTTAGTTTTAGATCCGTGAGTATGGATCAGTGGAAAAGGTTAGTTTTAGATCCGTGAGTATGGATCAGGTGAAAAGGTTAGTTTTAGATCTGTGAGTATGGATCGGGTGAAGATAATAATTTTAGATCTGTGAGTAGGGATCAGGTAAAGAGGAAAATTTTAGATAGGAGAGTTTAGATCGTATCGTTGTGACGATCGATGGGGGTGGGATAAGAGTTGCCTTTATATGGTGAAATTGTACAAGTTTGAATGTTCTATATTTATAAATATATGATATAACATTGTGGGATGAAAACCTATATGCTCACCAGGCTACCAATCCTGACCCACTCAGTTTTCTTTGTATCACAGGTATTAATACGAAGACATATTTCACAGAGAGATTTAAAGGAGATATAAATCGATTGTGTAATTAAATGTAAGTTTTGTTTATGCTTATATGTCTGTATCGGAACATGACATCCCGAGATTTTGTTATATAATGAAAATACATTTCTTTAAAGAAATGCTTTGATAATTTTTATCATATTTTGTTTTGGGAACAAATTCTGCAATTGTTTTCTTTAAAAGAGTACTCTAATTTTAGAAACAAGCATAAACAAATCGGTCTTTTTTGGCCGTGAAAATGGGGATATCACACTTGTCTTCATGCTTATGGCCCCATTAAAGTCCTTCATGACTCATTTTCCAAGCTTGTATGTGCATCAAATTTCGAAATAAGTTGATTGGCCTCTAGATCTAAGCATGGTTGAGCTCCAGGAGCTCAGATCTACTACCTTTATGAACCCATATTGCATGAAAACCTTAGATCTACTCTTTTGGTGCATTTTGAACCCTAAAAACCCCATAGATGGATATTTAAACGTAAAGTTGGAAACTTTACGTGTTAATCATGCTCTAGGAGCCCAGACCTACGAATGGCATGGACTGGATTCGAGCAAAATCGCATTTATGGCTCTTGCATGGAGTGGACTCGGCGAGTCGCTCATCTGACTCGGCGAGTCTAGTCGCGAGTCTCCGAGATTGTCCCCTTTTTGTTGTGTCGAGTTGTGTAGTGAGTCCAGGGAGGACTCGGTGAGTTGGAAGCCAAAAATCACCCATAATGGAACTCGATGAGTCGATGCCCAGACTCGGCGAGTTCAAGGCAATCTCCTTAGATCAAGATCAGACTCGGCGAGTTGTTCATACAACTCGGCGAGCCACAGTATAACTTGTTCATCGGATGAAGATGAACTCGGCGAGTTGTTCATACAACTCGACGAGTAGGATGAAGGAGTTGAACATCAGTTTGGAAGGAGAACTCGTCGAGTCGACGTCTAACTCGACGAGTAGAAATAGAATTCAGGTCAGTCGTTTGGAGATGGTCTCGGCGAGTTGGCGAGCCAACTCGGCGAGTCGGGTCAACTGGAAGTTGACTCTGACTTTGACTTAGGGCATGATCAGGGGTAAAATGGTCATTTTACCCAAAGGTCAGTTAGCAGTTTTTGACTAAGTGTTTGGTGGGAATTACAGCCGGAGGATTTCCGGAACAGCAGCAGCAGCAGTCAGACTATTCCCACGAAGATCAACAGCTACTCCGAGGTGAGTTACCTTCCAGTAGCGGTGGGTCTAAGGCCACAATGCCGGCCCACCAGTAGGAGATGTATGATTAGATGATTGTCTCTGTGATATTCATCTAGGGTTGCTACTACCTGTGTTATGTTTATGTGTTTGTATGATATGATGCTATGTGTTAGTGATAGTAGGGGAGATAGTCCCCAGGTTACCAGTCGATAGGGCCGAAGGGGCAGTCATGCCCAACCATGCTAGATAGACTATGTGATATATGTGTTATGTGGTAGTAGTAGGGGTGAAATAGTCCCCGGTACCCGGTCGAGAGGACCGAAGGGGGGGCCAACACCCAGATCTGCTAGGAAGTATCCGATCGAGAGGACCGAAGAGGAGGCCAGCACCCATATATGCTAGGCAGTATCCGGTCGAGAGGACCGAAGGGGTAGGTCGGGCACCCAGATATGCCTGACAATTTATGTATGTTATCTGATTGTATGGTATGTGGTACAATGGGGGAACTCACTAAGATTTGTTCTTACAGTTTACAGTTTTGGTTTCAGGTACCTCTTCATCGAAGGGGAAGGAGCTGGCACGGTAGCGGCACATCATGCACACATGACTGGTTTCCGCATCATTTAGATTTCCCTGGGATTTATATTCTGATATTTTGATTGATTGTATGACTTGGCTTTTAGACATGGTTTACGATGTGATGTGGTTGATCAAACAATGTTTTTAATTATTAACGTTTTCCTAAAGTAATGTTTTAAAACGAAATTTTTGGACGTGAAAATTGGGTCGTTACACTAGTTCCGTGTGGAAAAATACCTATGTCAATTCGAAGGGGAAGAGTGAAAAGAGATCAATCTCAAATCCGTAGCTAACGCCTATCTCAAACAGGAGGAAGCGACGTGCCGGACAAGCCCTGATTAGCAAGAGAGGCAAGATGGCAACCATCAGAGACACAATCGCCATTCCAGGCACATGTCACGGCGGTGTGGACCATTCAACAGGGATGATAACAGGAGCAGCCACAACGATGTCCACACAATTAATAAGACTCCAGCCAAGGAGAATAAGACAAGACCAAGTTCTTTGAGTACCCTCAAAGTAAAACGCATGACACCAAAGAGTGCACAATATTGAAGTTGGAGATTGATGAGAAACAAATAGTGGGAAATATAGTCGACATAGCAAAATACCTCAGGGCGAAATTTAATGGGGATAAGCACCTGCCCAAAAATCAAAAGGATGGGGGAAAGGATGACAAAAGAAGGGCTGACATACTTACCATCACAGGGCCCCGCCCATGTAGCAACCGCCAGAGCCAGTGTGTGGGCGCGCAAGTATACCATCAAAACATTCTCGATGTAACATTTTCAACACACGATCCCCGGCCAGAGCACTGGGATTCGAATGATCCTTTGCATATCACTGGTTTCATCAGTCAAAAATGTGTAGAGCAAGTGTACATTGATAGCAGAAGCAGGGTCAATGTGATTTATGAACACTGCCTTCGGCAGTTACCAATTGAATGGAAGGAGCACATTCAACTACCACGCCAAGGCCCGCTAGTTGGGTTCACCGGTCATGGCATTTGGCCAATATGAATAGTCACGCTCCCATTTACACTGATCAGGAAAGATGGAACCAAACAGATAACAGGGACACTTAAATTCTCAGTGGTCGACCGCCCGGTTCAGCATAATATTCTACTAGGCCGGCCAGCACTGTTCCAGCTACAAGCGATTCCGTTTATTCTTCATGGTGTCCTCAAATTCAACACGGGTGACGGATTGACAACAATAGTGGCAACCAAGTCGGGTAATGGATGTAACGCCCAATGAGAAACCCAATTGTCTTGGAGTGAGGGTTTTCATCAAGTGGATGATCCAGAACGAAGAATGGCAACATCATAAGCGCCAACCCACGAGTCCAAGAAAAGGCAAAGAGATGTATTCAGTCGGCTCACAACATCTCACCCACAGAAAGAAAAATGCGCCGACCTACCGATGAATCAACCAAAGTATAAAGTGAAAATCACAAAGCAAAGGGGCGCCTACTCACAGGCAAGGGCACCATCTAGACCCACAATCGATGGCCAAGTCGTGCCCAACTAGAGAGCGATTCAAAATTCAAAATACATTTTGGCCAATGCAGATTATGAGCCAAAACCTCATGGAATGAAGAAAATAGGCACCAAAAGCATCGAAGTTAGAGGCAGAATACCAATCCTCCCATCACGCACACTTTCCTACGAAAGAAAACTAGTAGGTGACCCTGACGCACCAAACGACATCCCAAGCGATGGTGTGAGACACAAGGTTGATAGGTGCACCAGAAAGTGCAAGGGGGCACTTCTCAAGGTTGCACCTCACATGCGTCGAGAAGAAAGGGAGGTTCAAGCACCTCCAGAGCTTGCACAACAAAATTCACCTCTCTCATGCTGGGCACTGTTGGCAAAAACAAGAGGAAACTCTAACCTATCAAGACACACTTGCAAAAGATGAGACACAGTTCAATAAGATAACTATATCATAACACTCAATCAAAAATAAAGCGGAGGCCTAGGAAAAATGAGTATGGTCAAACTTCACACAGGATAACCGTACTCTAGGTGCAAAAGCAAAAAATGGGCATACGCCCCGACACTTAGACATTTAGGGTCTATTGTATCATGTTTTTCTTTTTATTTCTAGAAGTAATATAATTTTCATTTCGAAAGATCCTTCCAGAATTTTGTATTGCAAAAACACAAAGTATAGAGGTTGTGCATATTTTCCAAGTAGCAACAACGACTGATCACCTACGCTACTTGAGCAAAATCTATGTAAGAATGCAACCGTAGGTCTCAAAAGAGTCATAATCTTTACCTACAATGTGCCAATAACATCTCAGAGCTGAGAATATACAAAATTAATGGCACAAAACATGGGGTTCTAAAAGATTCATAACCTTTCCCCTGATAACAGAACAGTAAAAGGTCTTGAGGTGATGATCTCGGCCTATGTATTTTTAGCTAGACCATACAGTACAGTCCACAGCAACGAAAGAGAACACTTCCATACAAAGTACAAAACAAATGTGCATACATACAAAAAGAAAATGAAAGAGAACACTTCCATACAAAGTACAAAACAAAATGCACAGTTTATGGTTATCAATAACAAACATTTTTTTTACTATACACATAGTACATAAGACGACAGCTACATTACACAATGAACAAAAGGGGAAAACACAAATCAACCCTCGGAGTCTGAGGAAGAACCTCTCAGATTCAGCCTACAGCAAAACTGGCGGAAGCCGTCATAATCCAGCTCCCCAAGCGAAAGAGGCCCACAAAATCCGTCTCGGCAATGGACGACAAAGTGACATACACCTCTTCAACCCTTCTTGCAACAGGGCTAGGATCTAGGACTTCAGGTTCTCTGGCACGTGTGGAGCAACCACTTAGTTGCTTTTCCTTTTCAAACCCAAGGGCCTCACATGCCTCACGAACACCCCGGACCCCATTGGCGAATTCTGCGCTCTCGATAACTTTATTAATTACGCGAACCACTCTTTCTCCAGCATCTATTGTAAACTACCTCGAGCAACCATGCCATCAACACGAGCATGGGCCAGTTGACGTTGGTACCTAGCGAACTCACTCGCCAGTGTACCTTTCTTCCGAATAAGAGAACTCACTTGGTCTTCAAGTCGCTCTGATGGATCCTACAAATTCTCCACTTGCTCCTCCAAAGTGTCCTTCTCGCTGGCCACAATGCAGTTTTGATCATAAAGAACTTGGCGCTCCGCCTCCGAATCATGGACTTCCTCCCTCATGCCTGTCAAGGCACCCTGTAATACTTTCAATTGCCTCTTATTCGCACCGGCAAGACAAACCTGGTTGTCGGTAGCGACCATAAGGGTAGAAGTCTGAGTTGCGGCATAGCAAAGGTCACCAGCCATGCGGTCACTTGATTGAACCATAAGCGAACTCATTATAGTTGAGGGATGAGCAAATCTACTCCATTCCTAAGTGAAAGTGTCTTTAGATAGTAAGGAGTCTTTAATAATTGCCCAACCCGAAGCATAGGCCTCGAAAGATGGGGAGTGAGATGAAGTTCCTATTTTGTTAACCAAGGAAGGTTTCTCGCGCTGAAAATATCCTCCAAGCAAACTCGGCGTACTCCCAGACATAGAGCTGGAACCGAAATTAACCAAGGGTGAATCAACAAATGGTGAGGGCGATGCCTCTGGAGAACTAGGCACCTTCACTATCTATTTCTTCTTAGGCACAAAAAATCGATCACCAAGAATACCCTCGATACCACCAAGAAGGCTGGCCACAGATACAGTCCTATGTGATTTACGAGGACGAAGACCCGCATCATCGGATTCTGTCTCCTCATCTGACGATGGCACCATGCGTAAACTTCGCCTTTTCTGAATAGGAGCACTACATTTTCCTGCTTGTACCCCCACAGGAAAAGCAAAAGGAGCAGGAACCGACGAACGAACCAGGGAAACAACCCCAACGGTTGGTTGGGAAGGCGTTGCAGGACCGCTAGAACCAACATTTCCCCTTTCCACCAAGATCAATCCAGCAAACTCTCGCATGCGCCTTTCAGACACATGAGGGGGAAGAGCCTCTACAAGATTGATCTCCCGGTGATAGAGCCTACCCGGGTAATGACCACGCAGGGCCATCTCCAAATAAATCTCGGCTTCAGCAACTGTGCAAATGAAAGTTGAATATAAGGACTCATAAGGTACCCTGCTCCTATCCCCTTTCTCCTTTGTTTTTTTAAAAAACAACGGGGTGGGGGGAAGAAGGAGACTAGTGGATACCGCATCTCACAACGTACAATTGTGACATCTTCCCACGAGCTCGCCAGGAGGCACTCATACCAGCCGCAACAAGAATGAAATCTTCCTATTTCTCCCCAAACAACAGTGATGTTTCCTAGTCGTTTGTCGAGGGTTAGGTTGCTCCTGAACAATTTGGGAAGGCAGTCAGGAAAGTGTCGCGTTTTGTGAAACCCACGCCCCATAAGGTTCCAGTTAACCCAGAGCCATTGCATTTGCCAATTTTCTTCTGGACATATTGTTCAGAGATTAACTAATGAATGCCCTGCCTTTTCTCCAAAGTACAAACACCAGAATTCGTAGTTGGAAAAAAGAAGTAACGGAAAACCTAGAAGGTGGGTATACAACCCAAAGATCGGCAAATCAGTTCGAAACTGGCGATTTTATTAACAGCGCTCGGGGTCAACTCAATGAAGGAGAAGCCATAGTGGTCCACAATCATGTTGAAGAAATAGGATATCAGCAAGCGTAACCCCGCTTCAAAAAAGGGATCAAAACTCCCACTTTCTCTTAGGGGCAATCGTAGATCGATAACCCCTTTGCCGGAATCATTACACCATGCTCTGGTAAGAAACCGAAGCGATCTTGCAGAAGCTGAAGTTCTTTTGTAGTAGGAACTCTACCATAAAAGATCCATTGTCTAGAAAAGTATGAGCAATCAAAAAAGAAATTAATGGAACACACGGATTGTTACAACAAAGCCAAAGTGGGGATGTGAGGATGAAAAGCCTGGGGAAAAGGGGGACTTTAAAGGCAAAACTGGTGTCACAAACCGTCTCCAAATGACACTGACACACATTGACGGTGCTTCCTGAAGCCTGTCAAATGCTAGAAGTGATCCGAAACATACACGTGTTGAAATATAGGCTCGAAAGATGATACAGTCAAGCCGATGCATACACGGACAAGCCTAAGGGACTGGTTAACGTATCACTCAGGGGAACATAAATAAAGAAGTAAAAATAACACCTGACTTGGCTTGGCCAGAGCCTAGTCTAAAGCCAAGTCTAGGCCTTCGCCAATTCGAAGATCACCAATATAGCGGTTAAGGTGCAGAGTCACGCCTTAACCCTATCTCCAGGAAATTATATCCCAACAAACGTGGGACCATTTAGAGAGTCCAACTCGCCCATTAGATGATAGCCATGATCTTCATAACAAATAAAAGATCTCCTTCTAGCCAATGAGGGAAGGAGACAAAAGACGTGACTGAGGATCCTCCAATATGGGTCTGCCACGTCGCTCCTCATAGGGGAATGCTCAACAGAATTAGTTGAGGGACACACCTCTCAAACACGTATAAAAGGATCATTCTTCCTCATGAAGAAGGGGACAATATTCTCTTTTTTCTGTAATCTTTTACAATCTCTCTCAGATCTCACACTGACTTGATCGTCGGAGCTTCGTCCTGGGAATTCCTCCCGGACGTCAACTAATAGTCGTTTCTCTCTTTTACACTGTGATAATATGAGAAGATACACGCACGGATCTCCCTTATAGTTCCCACCCAATCCTCTCCAGCATATCACAACAGTATTCTTAGTATAACATGATAACTTTTGTTTCTTCGTATTCTCATACAAAATAAAATAAAATTTCATTGTTAATTAGGTAAAATTTTCAAAAGAATAATATATTAATAATAAATATTAAAAGTATTATTGGATTAACATGTCGTTTAAAGAAAACAATTCCTTGATTAGAAAAAAGGCCCAAGGTAGAATATTATAAAGGAAACAAAAAAGATATGAGAAATTGTCAGAAAAATCTTAATATTTTCGACAAAGTTATACTTTAGTTCCAAGATTTCTTTTTGAACAACAGAGTCTTAAAAACCGGCAAAAATTTGCATTTTGATCATTTTAGCGGGTTGGAACTGGTACCAAATTAATTTGGGACTATTTCGTAAACTAACTCAAAATATTGAGACTTTTATGTAAACAAAATTAGTAGGAATTTTCTACAAACAAGTTATTATTGTTTTCAATTCAGAATATTAATATTTAACAATTTAAAAGAAGTTGCATATCTGTAAAATTGTTTATAAATAGCTTAAAGTAGAAGTATTTCTTACTTTGTATATAAATTTGTTTAAGGTAGAAGGATCTTTTTCCAAAAGTAATTAGAATAATTTAAGAGTGTTAATCAAAATTCAAAAGTATTAATCCAAAAAACATGTCCTATTACTTGTTATTAAACAGGATAGTGTAATTAATATTTTTGAATTTTGATATGTGTTACCAATGTAGATGTTTGTAGTGTATCTGCTGGACTTGGAAACAAATCTTTCTACTTTAAACAATTTTATATACAAAGTGAGAAATCCATCTACCTTAAAATATTTATAAACAATTTTACAAATATTCAACTTCTTTTAAATTGTTAAGTATTAATATTCTAAATTGAAAAGAATAATAACAAATGTGAAATAGCCATATACAAAGTAAAAATATACAAGCAGACATTCATGATTTCAATACTAAAAGCATCACTATCTCCTCCATCACCACCCTTAAACAATATCATTAATATTATTTTTTTCTTTTAAACACATTTATATGTATTATTAACAATATTAATAATAACAAGTTTAAAAATAGTATTCTTATTTATATTTTTAACAACAACAACCACAGTATTACAATAATAATAATAATAATAATAATAATAATAATAATAATAATAATAATAATAATAATAATAATAATAATAATAACTAGATGAGACACCCCGCTTTGCGGGGTATGGATTTGTTAACTGTATAGAAAATAGAAAATAAGCGATTAAAATTAAAATAAATTAAAAGACGTTAACACATTGATAATCTTCCATCATATGAAATTCATAACTATTAAATAACAAAGCTCATTGCGCAAGGTTATGCGTTTTTGAAACTTCCCCGATTATGCCATAAGAACACCTTACATCATTCTACCAAGTAAAACATAAAGGGATCAACAAAATCTATAAAAGTAATATTTCCTCATTTTATCCAACCTATTTTACAAACTCCCCAATTTTACATTCCATTTCTATAAATCAATTGTAACTTTTTCAAATATTTTTTTAAAAATCATTTATCCAGAACTCTTTGTTTTCTGGTTTACCAACATTCCTTTGCTCTTGGGACTGAAAGCTAGCCACAATATGAAAAATCTCAGGGGAAGCAATACAATTGCACACTTTCGACACCTGTAGAGTGTAATAACAAAAACAAATTAGGGTCGAGAATAATAACAAAAACAAATTAGGGCCATAAATGGATAAGGATTGTCAAAATAAAGTCAAACATTAGAAGCTTTTAACTCTTCATATTTCCTTGGAAAAAGATCCATTTTTACCATTAAAATGGAAAAGAATTTACTAAAGATAAAATATGTACATCACGATAAATTTGATTTTTACAAAGTGCATCTAGATTTAGGAAACTGATAAAAAGACTGTTTTTATATTTTTATAAACTAGGTGTGAGACCCGTATATTACACGAGTTTATTAAAAAAAAAAATTTGGTAACCAGAAAGACTATGTTCATCTATACTAATAAATAAAACCCATTTTCTGCCACATGTCATGTTCTCATTGATTTGGACACATGGCATTTTAATAGATTTTTAAAATTTACTTATTTCCACATGTAATTTTCTGATTTGTTCACATGTCACAACTTATTTCGGTTACAATATTGAGAGAAATAAATGCTTCTTTGAAAAAAATTGATATATTTATAATGTAATAAATGCCATAATTAATGAGAGCTCTAAAATTGATATTGATATTAAATATTAATTTTAAATTTAAAGTTTAAATATTGATATTAAATTTTTATTTTTAATAGACCCGTGTAGTACACGGGTCTCATACCTAGTATAAAAATAAGTAACGATTGAGTTTGTGACCTTTTCGTAAACCGTATGGACTATTTATGTAATTTGGTCTAAATTAATGTATACTAATAAAATTAATTAATATGAATTCACAAATGGAATGTAATATCTACATTAATATACATATATATTAATTAATATATTAATAAAAAGAGGAATTCAAAAATAGAAAGTTATTATGTACATTAATTAATATATTTATAAAATTAATTAATAAGAGGTAACATTTAATATGTGAGATTCAAATAAAAAAGAAAAAAAAAACTATAAAAATGATAAGTGGATATTAAATAATTCAAAAAAATCTAGAAAATGACAAGTGTCAAAATGAAGGAGAAAATAACATATGGCAAAATCATTTTTATTTATTAAGGTAGATTAAATAACATTTCAACACTTCAGTTTTTGAATTTTGTCCATTTGAGTTAGTAGGAGCATGACAATCTTTTTTTTTTCTGCCCTTTTTTGAAATTTTTTTGATTTTTTTTCCCCTAAGCTTTATCTTCGCACCTTCATATAAGCCTCCAACTTTTAGCACCTTGAGGTAAGCCTCCAACTTTTAGATTATATATTAGTCAAAGAATACTATCTCTAAGCTGAATGTAAATATAAGCCTCCAACTTTTAGCACCTTGTTATAAATGATTTAGTGTTGTTCAGGGGAAAAAATTTGTTTGGTTCAAGTTTAGGGCCAATATAAGCTGAATGTAAATACACATTTATGAATTTGAATAGCAATGTTGCTAAAAGATAGTATGTAATGATTTTGGTTTTAAATAAAAGTTAAATATTATTAAATCTCGGGCTTGCTCTTTATTAGACTTAAAACGAAAGTGCAGGGCTAAAATGGACATGCAAACCAATGGTGAAAGAAAATCACATTACCATATCCCTAAGTTAGTGTTTTTATATCTGAAAATTTTAAACTGAGGACATGTGTAATAATTCGGCCTCTTTAGTAGCACATGAGTCAATATGTAACGAAAAGGATGAAAATTAAAATAAACCCCAAAAAATACTTCTAAATATACAAATCAAACATTTTTCTAAATTAACCAATAAATCATTAACATCATAATTGATTAGCAAAAGCCATCTGAACTGTATTACATCAAGAGACAATTACATGAATCAACAAACACGAAAATTAGGGTTGAGAGACATAGCTGGGGCAAACCACACAACATATCCTTGTCGCATAAAATGGAAGAAAAAAAGTAATATGTTCCATCAATAAGCATATCACCCTAAATGAACTGCTAAATACTAAAGCTTGATACAATAAAAATCCACACATAAGAAAACAAAAAGTCGATAGAAATGGCAGAGG